CACACCTGCACGCCTGTTCCACTCTTCGTTTTCCGAATGCCAGGAAGTATTCTTGCCTAGCTTCTGAAGCAAGTGACTCGGAAGACATGTGCTACCAAGCAAGCGTACTCAACATTGAGAAACACCCCATGAGCAAAGCAAACTTCAATGTTGAAAAATATTAACTTTAAAGACTGTTCTCCACTATCCTGATCTGCTTGACATTAATGTGGGAAGCATTATGTAAATAAAATAATGTAAATTACGACTTTTAAAATGTATTCATACAATATTTGCCTTAGCACTTTTGAGACCTTTACATTTTTTTTGAACACAATCAAAACCAAAGAAAGGCTTATTTATTTAGGCTACATGAATTCAACACCTTTAAAGACCGCCCTAACTTGACAACATCGTGTAGCCACTCAATACCTGATGTATTGTCTATGTTACTCTAAATGGCATCATAAATTGCTAAATGAACATTCAGCTGTATTGAAGAAGACTTCAAACTAGAGATTGACACAAAAAAACTTGTCAGGAAAATGTTTTCTGAGATGATAAATCCAGTGAGAAGTTGGGTGATTTTTCTCGTAGTCTTCCATACAGTCTGAGTTGTTTTTGCAACCAATGGAGTCGCCCCCTGCTGGCTATTATACAAAATGCAGGTTTAAGACACATCCACATAGCATTACCTTTCCAGACCTGGATATTTTTGCTTGATATGAAAACAGTTTTTTTAAATGTGTTGAATATGCACAACGTCTTACTGAGGAAGTAGTTCTGTCCCAGGGGCAGGAAGTGGTCCGGCACCACCAGTCCGTCAGCGCCCTGCAGGAACCACATGGTCGTGCCGTTCAAAATGGAGGAACGGAGGAAACCGTCTTCATTCACACGCCACAGAACTGGAGCTCCACTGGCGTTCACCACCACCCTGGAGGGGGAGAAAAAAAAGCAGGGGAGGGAGGGATGAAGAGAGGACATTCAGGAGAATCACAAAGAAAATCTTAACATTGTGGGCTTTTGTAAAGTTTAGCCAGGGCCGTCATGCAGACTGTGTGGGGCTTCACCTTGCGGAGGGTGCCTCAACTGAGCCGAAAATGCGCTTATGCAGTGCAATTAGTGTGGCGCGGCACGGTTTTGCCGCTGCGAGGCTCCACTAGCACCCCCCGTCGACGCTCGCGAAACAGAGGGCCTCATCATATAACTTTGCGTGGGGCCTCATGTTGGCCAGGGACGGCCCTGAGTCTAGCCCAAATTATAAATTCAGAACAGTCAGAACAGTTGTCATGATCTCTTTTCACTTGGTGACAGTGAAACAGCAAGATAATTATTGATGGACAATCCATGATTCATGATTATTGTGGACAAAAAATAATTTCCAATAATGGTATTATCATCATATCTATGGAACATTTTAAAGGACACGTTTATCGCTAATTACTTGACAAACTTTGACCTTATTTATTGTGCATTTTGTGTTTTTTTGAGAATGTATTAAACTTAAAATACTGATGTTAGGATGTGGAAAGATATCCAGTAAAAAATGTTCCCAACAACTGCCAACACAATATTATCATATGTATATCATTACAATTATATCAGTATTTCCTAATTTAAATATCAACTTTTTCATAAAAACTGGAATATCGCAACCCCTTTACTTACAATATTCACTGTTTAAATAATGGATATTATCAGAAAAATGCGTAAAATATTAGGACAGCTTCAAACTGCACCAATATTATATCGGGAGCATCACCTTGCTAGGCATCTCAAACATGAATTAAAGGTCAACAACACTTTATCCTGTGTTTGAACCGAGGCGGATGATTTAAGGACGCTCCTCCAGTTTGCCCAACAAGGCATTATGGGTAAGGGGTTGTGAGTAATGGCTGTCAGTGTCTGGACTCAGTGGGGGGGGATATTACTTCCTGTGGAAACACTTTGACCCTGATGAACACGAGTTGTGAAATACAGCCAGTGTGTCGGAGCCTATCATCCATCAGGAGCTCAGTACAAAATATAGTGGTTGACTGATATGAGAGCAGGGGGCTGACGGCCGATATATAATGCTGGTATTTTGTTGTTGACTTTTAATAATTAATGTTATTATTATTACTATTAAGAGATACAAAATTGCTTCATCTGACTTAAATGTATTTGTACCTTTTCTAAATGTATATGTATTAACAAAATAAAAGTACATAGCTAGACAAACAACTACTCTGCAAACAAATTCATAATAATTCACGTTTTACTGAAGCAGCTATGTACACCTTAATGCTCCTCCTGAGATGAACCCTTTTTATTCCAGGCACTACATGAGTTTTCTTCTAGCACCAACCCTCAGGCTATCGAGGGATGATTAAGGGCATGATCTCATAATATTGTAATATATCGTCTTTAAAACTTGACATGTCTAAATCAAGAAATAATGCTAATTCCAAATAAGTAATCCTAACAGCCGAACTGGTCTCATTTGTTTTCTATCTGGATGTGTGAGAGGATCGCGGAGAGAAAAGGGCGCTCTTGAGGAGGCGTAGCGCTGCATCTGTAAACATGTGAGCCGAGCAGCCGGCCCCCTGCTGGGCCCCGAGGAGGAGAAGAACAATGAGGGCCATGTTTCTGCCAGAGACACTGAGATCCAATATCTGCCATCCCGCCGAGCAGACTTAAAACACGAAGCCGAGTCACCGCTCTCACAGCCGAGAGGCAGCCGGGTGGTGAGAGAGAGAAGTTTTTATATTAGTACTTTGAATTGCTCTTTTTATTTAAAGATCACCTATTATGCAAATTCCACTTGTTCATGTCTCTTCTACATCAACATGTGTCCCCTCTTCTTCATGTCTCTTCTACATCAACATGTGTCCCCTCTTCTTCATGTCTCCTCTACATCAACATGTGTCCCCTCTTCTTCATGTCTCTTCTACATCAACATGTGTCCCCTCTTCTTCANACACACACACACACACACACACACACACACACACACACACACACACGCGGGTTCTTTCAAGGCTATACAAAGTAGGAAGCAGTATCCGACCATTTAAGTTATTTAAAGGTCACCTATTATGCAAAATCCACTTGTCCATGTCTCTTCTACTTCAACATGTGTCCCCTCTTCTTCATGTCTCTTCTACATCAACATGTGTCCCCTCTTCTTCATGTCTCTTCTACATCAACATGTGTCCCCTCTTCTTCATGTCTCTTCTACATCAACATGTGTCCCCTCTTCTCCATGTCTCTTCTACATCAACATGTGTCCCCTCTTCTCCATGTCTCTTCTACATCAACATGTGTCCCCTCTTCTTCATGTCTCTTCTACATCAACATGTGTCCCCTCTTCTTCATGTCTCTTCTACATCACCATGTGTCCCCTCTTCTTCATGTCTCTTCTACATCACCATGTGTCCCCTCTTCTTCATGTCTCTTCTACATCAACATGTGTTCCCTCTTCTTCATGTCTCTTCTACATCAACACGTGTCCCCTCTTCTTCACGTCTCTTCTACATCAACACGTGTCGCTTCTCCTCTTCTCTGTCTCTCTACATCACATGGGCC